TTCCAGATTGCTGGTTAAAGGTTAGATTCCTTGAAGAAGCTGAAACTGCAATTAGGTTAGATATTAAGTCTCAGTTTGTTGATGAGGAGTGAGCACAAGTGACTCCATTTGGGGCCTGTTGTCTCTTTTTTAATTTAACACTGATGACAGGGGTTAGACCCATTTTCTTTGGGTTTGCTGCTCCATAGACTTCTCTGAGTCCCAGTTCTTGACCTCAGCAAACCCCAGCCTCTGGGCCTCCACCTTAATGCTGGCTGACCTGTCCTTCCCGCCCCCGCCCTGCACTGCCTCCCCCACCCTTGGCTCTCTCCAGGAGGCACCAAGCTAATCAGGCTGATTATCACCCAGGTCCAATTCCACTTTCCCTGGCTACAACATGCAGTAAATTTCCTCAGCTGCTTGGCTCCCCTGTGAGCCCTGCCTCTTGTCAGACAGCCTGACTTAGGAAGCCGCCAGCTCCCCTGCCTGCTGTATCATCACAGATGAATCAGGCCTGCCCAACCTGTAGGTGTAATCTAAATGCTATCTACAGAGTCACACCATCCTCAGCAGCAAAACGTAACTGTCACAGTTTCCCAATCCAGGAAAATCTCTGGGGTTTTAAATGTCTTACTGTTTTCCAAAAGTCTGTATTATAGTCTGTCTGCCAGAGAGCTGAGTTTTAGAGGGTGTCTTGGAAAATTATTTCCCATATCTCCACACATTTTGAGGATGGGATAGTGGCATTAGTCTTAGTTTCTCATCAGGTAATGGCCTTCCAGTTTCCTGCCTCATTTCACACTTGTCCCACCCTTAGGGTCTTTGGGTAATTGGAAGTGATTTGGAAAGACCCAGAGAAGGCCAAGGAGGGAGACCGGGATGCCATGTTAATTCTCAAACCCAGGGCCCTCTGGGATGAATGAAGAAGCTCTGCTGCCATTCTTCCTGTCTTGATCTCTTCCAGAGAGAGAAAGGCTTAGCCATGAGAGGAAAGGAAAAAACCAGGTTGTATAAGAGGCCCTGGTGTGCATGGTCTGAGCTAATTCTCTGGCTCCAGAACATGGTGCTTTCCAGGGTGCCTGGCTGGCTCAGTATGTGGGATATGCAGCTCTTGATCTTAGAGTTGTGAGTTTGAACACCATGTTGGGAATAGAGATTCCCCCTTTTAAAAAAAGGGACCAAATTCTCTTTGAAAAAGAAAAAAGAAAGAAGAAAGAAAGAAAAGAAAGAGAAAGAAAAAGAAAGAAAGAAAGAAAGAAAGAAAGAAAGAAAGAAAGAAAGAAAGAAAGAAAGATGGTGCTTTCCATAGAATGAGAGATGTTTAAAAAAATCAACTGAGTAAATTTGAAGATCTAATTGGGTGAATTCAATGATTCATGAAAAGAGTGACATCCCATATAGCAAATAGAAAGGTGTTCTAAGGAGCTATTCAAAATGGAATGCTTTTATAGGCAGAAGAGGGTAAAAAAAGGGAAAATTTCTAACAAAGGATGGATTGTTTCAGGCAAGGTCACCTCCACCTGGGGAAGAGCAGGGGTCTATTGGGCATATTACTTTACTGATCAGATAATTCCAGATTGGCTGGTTAAAGGTCACAGTTCTGGGAGAGGCTAACACTGCAATTAGGTTAGGTGTTAATTCTTAATTTGCTGACATGACATTAGCATAAGTGACTCTGTTTGGGGCTTCTTTCTTTCTTTCTTTCTTTCTTTCTTTCTTTCTTCTTTCTTTCTCTTTCTTTCTTTCTTTCTTTCTTTCTTTCTTTCTTTCTTTCTTTCTTTCTTCAGACATAGTGTGCATGAAGCAATCAGAGAACAAGTAAGAATTCAATTATGTCATGTTGACGCAAGCCAAGAAGGACAGCTTCGTGAAAATGAGTCTCGATTCAACTAAGTTTAACAAGCACTACTAACATATTTGATGTACAAGGGACTGTGTTAGGCACTGTGGAAGTATGGAGGGAAAGAAAGCCATGTCTTCACCCTGTGGGGACAGATATATAGGGAAAATTATGAACGTGACATAAGAAGTATACACAACAGTGTTAAGGAGTGCTATGGACTGTGTGTGTGTCCCCTCAAATTCAAATGTTGAAGCCCAGACCCCCAGTCTGATAGAATTTGGAGGCAGGGACTTTGGGAGGTAGGAGTTAGATGAGGCCTTGATGATGGGGCACTGACCTGATGGGATTAGTGCCCTTATGAGAAGAGATACCAGAAAGCTTGCTTTTTGTGACACCCCCCCACCCTCTGCCATGTGTGGATGCACTAAAAAGCAGTCATGTGAGCACATGGCAAGAGGTAAGCAGATCTGCAAGCCAAGAAGAGAGCCCTCACCAGAACATGATCTTGCTAGTACCCTAATCTTGGACTTCCAGCCTCAAGAACGATGAGAAAATAAATGTCTGTTATTCAAGCCACCCAGGGTTGGTATTTTATTATGGCAACCTACACTGACTAAGACAGGGAGATAGATGAGAGAGATTGTAAAGGGTTCTATCACAGAATACTTCCAGGAGGAGGTGAAATTGTAGTTGCAGGATGAGTCAGGTTCTAAAGAGGAAGGTATAAAAGGCCATTGCAGTCTGAAGAAGCAGCTGAGGGGAGTGCGTGGCATTTCAGCAGTCCATGCTGTGAGGTCATAGAGCTCCTGGAGCCTGGGGTGGAGAGGTAAAGGAGAGATGGAGCCAATTCTAAGGACCTAGACACTAAGGAGCATGGATCTTGCTTTAATAAGAGGGTGGGGGCATCAGTGTTTTTGAGCAGAAGAATAGCACAATTGGGAAGGAGCCAGTGGCTGCAAAGGAAGTGGTGATTGGCAGGAGGGCAGGCCACAGGGAAAGCATCCACAAGGCTGACAAGGCAATGGGCTGAGCCTGAGGTGATGCCATAAAGATCCACAGGTCAGGGCAAGAGAAGCACCCAAGGGTAGTAGTAATACATGGAACCATGTAACTTTGGGAGTGATGCAGGTCGTCAAACGTGAGGCTGGGAAGGTAGTTCCCAAATCCCTTTTTGTCTTTAACCCCCCACCAGACCATCCTCTTTGCACCTAGTGTTTCCACCTCTAATCTTTTGTTTATCTCTGCGCCTTTGGATTTTCCTGTTTCTGCAAAATAATAGGGCCTTCCTGTCATCTTGCCTCCCATCCAGCCCATAGCTCTTCTATGGTTGAAATAGGAAAGGAAGAAGAGAGAAGGGATACTGGGGAAAGAATTGTGAGGGAAGAAGCTAATGGAGCAGTAATTAATGTTTCCTTCCTTCCTATCTTCCCTACTTCTTCCTCCCTCCCTCCCTCCCTCCCTCCCTCCCTCCCTTCCCTCCTTCCTTCCTTCCTTCCTTCCTTCCTTCCTTCCTTCCTTCCTTCCTTCCCTCCTAAAAACTTCTATGTGCCAGGCTTTGTTCCAAGCACTCTACATGTATTAACCCAATTAACCCCAGGAGTGAACCCACAGGGAGGGCACATAATTGATGGTCAGGAATACAGGCTTGACTGCCAGACTCTCTAGTTTGAAACTCCAGCTTCACATCCACTGGCTGCACAATCTTGGGCAAGTGACTGGGTATGTCTTTGCCTTGACTCCATCTATATAATGGGGATAATGATAGGGTTGTAGGATAAGGAATAAATGAGTTAAAATATAAAATGGTGATTGGGACAAAGGGAGTGGTCAGTTTTTTTCAGATAAAAGAACTAAGGTCCAGAGAGAAGTTACTTTCCCAAGTTCACCTAGGTAGTAAATAGCTGGTCAAGAGTTGGACCCAGACTGACTAGATACAGTCTAATCATTGTATCCTGCCTCGCCACCAAGCAGATGTGAGAAGAGAGCAGGAAGACGTTGAGGTGGATTAATGTGGTTCTAGACTGGATGTGGGGTCTGCAGTTCTTTTAAATGGCCCCTCCTATGGCCACTGATGCCTTGGCCTATTCAAAACAGGAAGCGGGTTTGAAAAGGAAGAAACCCAGATTCATCCCAAGCTATAAACTGAATGTTTGTCTTCCCCCAAATTCATATGTTGAAATCTGATCTCCAACGTGATGATGTAAGCAGGTGGGGCCTCTTGAGACACCATTAGGTCATGAGGATGGAGCCCTCTTGAGTGGGATAAGTGCCCTTATAAAAGAGACCCCAGAGAGCTCCTTCACCCCTTCTATCCTGGGAGGATGTTGTAGATGGCTATCTGTGAATCAGAATACCGAATCTGTCAGCACCTTGATTTTGGACTTACTGGCCTCCAGAATTGTGAGAAATAAATGTGTGTTGTTTATAAGCCACCTAGTCTATGGTATTCTATTACTGCAGCTCAAATGGACTAAACTCAGTTTTAAGAGCTGGGGATTTTGATGGCTTTCCTATGGAGGGGTGGGGTAGGCAGGACGGGTCCGCCATGAGCTGACCGATCCCTGCAGATGCTCCAAGTGATCATGAGGGGGCAGCAGAGCCTAGGCTCTGTTTTTAGGTTAAGTTTTAAATGGGGTAGCTTGTGGGTGACACCTTCCAGAACAAAATGAATCCCGAGCTGCATGGCAGGTATTGTAATAAAACATCCTAAACATGTTAAAAATGACAGCAATTAAAGGGGCCTTAGCAAGAACCTAGTCTTTACTCAGCAGAAGGAAAGTCTTGAATCCAAGTTGTCAAAAATGACTTTTCCCAGATTTAACACAGGGAATTGATGAGAAAGCTGGAAATAAAACCCAAGACTATCTCTGCAAATCTATGGGAAGAAACATGAGCCCATTTCCAGAAGGGGAACTTGGTTCTTTCTCAGTTGGGAGTCCCAGTATCATGGGAGTATACATGAGTCCTGCCTTGTGGCATCTTCAGTGGCCAGCAAGTGATGCTGGCACCCTTATTGGCTGCAAATTTTCTCTTTTCATCTCGAGGCCAAATTCATTAGACCTACATCCTGAGGGAGAGGAGATGAGAGAGACTGGCAGGTGAGAAACAGGAGCTAGTATAGGGTACCGGCTGAGGAAAAGACTAGGAACCATGAAAAATTTAATGAATTTGCTTTTGTTGTTTTTAGCCATTAGAAATATATATTATTATATTGACTAATAAAAAATCAGGACCTATAGATAAATATTAGAACATTAAAAATAGTAATAATCCTATATATTCAAAGGAAATGCTGAATTGTTTAAAACATGCTTTTCATGAAAGTGAAGTGCAAGAAATCTTACAAGAGGCTTTGTATAATGTAAAGTTCAGTCTTAAATTGTAGTGCTAGCCACTGTTGAGTGGTTTGGACGCTCTCCTTGGTGCTGAAGCAAGGCAGGCGGGAGGAAGAACTTCCATGTTTGAACAGGAGCGCCTTGCCTGGGATCATGACAAGCCCATCAGAGTTCCATGGTGTTTCTATTTGAGTTTCCCAGCACTGTGGTCTCTCTCTTCTTTCTTCGTATAGGTTCTGTTTTTCATCAGGTTCCATGGAATGCTCTCAATGGGGAAAGTTCCACCAGGCTTAGCCAAAGTAAATTCTCTTCATTCCCAGACCCCACAGCTCCACGTGAAACTGCCTTTGCCTTAAATCGATGTCATCATCACCTGGGGCCTCTGAATTTTGATCTGGAAAGAGAGATTGAACCAGGTGAAGGCTAGGTTTATAAGGAAACTGGGATTTGGAAACAAGAGTCTTGGGTCTGGGGAAGTGCTTAGCTTAGAACTTACCCTATAACCTAGAGTCTAGTACAAACCAACGATCTCCCCCACCTACCCACAACTTAAGTAGTTTTAAAGGTATTCTAGCTAGGGAGTTTATCTTTGCCCCAAGGCTTTCCCTAGGGAGTACAGTGCCTGAAGCCAATTACACTTCTGAAGTGTGAATACTTTTTTTTTAATTTTTATTTATTTATGATAGTCACACACAGAGAGAGAGAGAGAGAGAGGCAGAGACACAGGCAGAGGGAGAAGCAGGCTCCATGCACCGGGAGCCTGACGTGGGATTCGATCCAGGGTCTCCAGGATCGCGCCCTGGGCCAAAGGCAGGCGCCAAACCGCTGCGCCACCCAGGGATCCCTGAAGTGTGAATACTTTGAGAGCATTTCTTCTGCCCTTGAACATCCATCCAGTTGAAAGAAAATCAAGGTGCCAATCAATGAAGGGTCACCCCTTGCCCATGACCAATCTTGGCCTCAGTCACAGTGGGACATCATGACATTATGTACCTTCTGAGGTGAGGCCTGACATATGCTTAACAAAAATGTCTAAGCTGGGACTAATCAAGCCCCTAGGCCTGACTGCCAGTTTATAGGAAGTACAAAGGGTCAAAGGACAAGTTAAAGAATACCATGAGAGGGATCCCTGGGTGGCGCAGTGGTTTAGCACCTGCCTTTGACCCAGGGCACGATCCTGGAAACCCGGGATCGAATCCCACGTCAGGCTCCCGGTGCATGGAGCCTGCTTCTCCCTCTGCCTATGTCTCTGCCTCTCTCTCTCTCTCTATCATAAATAAATAAAAATTAAAAAAAAAAAGAATACCATGAGAAAATAATTAGATACACTCAAAATGTGGGACATTCCTTAAGACAATTATCCTAGACTCTTAAAAAAATCAATATATTTTAAAGGTAGGAATCAGTTCTAGATTAAAAAGACTAATGAGACACAACAAAAGTCAGTGAGTGAAATTTTTTCATATTTGAAAAAACTAGTAAAGAGGTGTTCTTGGATTCATTAGAAAACGGATATTGGATAATATTATAGAATTATCATAAATTTATTGGGAATGCTAATGGTATTTGGGGATGTTTACTGAAATGTTTAGGAATTAAATGTCATAATGTTTGCAACTGACTTCCAAATGGTTCAGCAAAATTTGATGAGTATGTATATCATATACATACATACTATGCTATATAATGAAAATGTAGCAACATGTTAAACATTGTTGATCTAGGCAGGGTATTTAGGACACTATTTTTGACTTTTATGTGGTTTGAGAGCTAAAACAACTAAATAAATTGGCTATCAAGCACATACTTAAAGTGGAAAGAAATCTCTGAGCCTGGAGCCTCAGGGATCTAGGGTAAGGTAGATTCCACCGTGTTGCTTAGCTCCTTCTCCATCTGCTGCCACCCCAAATTATGTTCATTTCCCAGCAATGTAGACCTAGATGTCACCGAGACTAACAAACCATAAACATTACTTTGCTTTCCTGAAGATCTTACCATGGTAGGAGAGGATATAGGGTCTCAGGAAAGGAGGAAGTGAGCACTTCATCCATGCCTTTCTTACCTTTGTTTCAGAGTCTATGTGGTCCAGGGAGGGCTGGAAGTTATTATAAATGGAGTCCAAGTGGATGGAATCATCTTGATCTAGATGAGAAGAAAGCCCCATGGAAGCAGCTGGTTAGAAAGACAAGCTCCCATCTATCCCTCTAATCCCACCCACTGCAAGATGAGGGGTATATCCCCTACCTTCCTAGGAAACTGAAAGCCATCGCAAACATGACAGCCTACCTAAGTTACCAGATCTCAGCAAATGGTTTGGTTGGTTCTTGGAAGATGTGGAAAATCACATTTAAAAAGTTCAACAAAGAAAAACCACCATCTCTTGGCAGGCAGCGTCTCAAATTTGTGAAAAGTCCATTAGGATTAGGATTAGCCCCCCTTGGATTGGGGGGCTATTTGATGGATTTGTTGTATTGATGCCCTAATTCATGGACATAGGGCTTTTCCTTTGCTTAGGGTTTCTACAAAGTTTTTAAATAAAGTTTTATCATTTTTCCACTGAAAACTCTTCAATATCTTTTATTGGATATATATTTGTACTGTATATATCTGTTGCTGTATAAGAACCCTCTTACACTGTTGGTGGGAATGTGAAATGGTGCAGCCACTCTGGAAAACTGTGTGAAGGTTCCTCAAAGAGTTAAAAATAGACCTGCCCTACGACCCAGCAATTGCACTGCTGGGGATTTACCCCAAAGATTCAGATGCAATGAAACGCCAGGACACCTGCACCCCGATGTTTCTAGCAGCAATGTCCACAATAGCCAAACTGTGGAAGGAGCCTCGGTGCCCATCGAAAGATGAATGGATAAAGAAGATGTGGTTTATGTATACAATGGAATATTCCTCAGCCATTAGAAACGACAAATACCCACCATTTGCTTCGATGTGGATGGAACTGGAGGGTATTATGCTGAGTGAAGTAAGTCAATCGGAGAAGGACAAACATTATATGTTCTCATTCATTTGGAGAATATAAATAATAGTGAAAGGGAATAGAGGGGAAGGGAGAAGAAATGGGTGGGAAATATCAGAAAAGGAGACAGAACATGAGAGACTCCTAACTCCGGGAAATGATCTAGGGGTGGTGGAAGGGGAGGAGGGCGGGGGGTGGGAGTGACTGGGTGATGGGCACTGAGGGGGGCACTTGACGGATGAGCACTGGGTGTTATTCTGTATGTTGGCAAATTGAACACCAATAAAAAATAAATTTATTATTAAAAAAGTAATAGAACAAAAAAAATAAAATTATGAAATGAGAGGAAAAAAATGACCTGTTGTTGATGCATAGACATGCAAATGATCTTCTCTCTTGCAAATTGATAAATTCTATTACTTTTAGGGAGTTAACATTTTCTTGGGTTTTCTAGGTTAGACAACCATACCATCAGCAAATGACAGACTTATATTTTTCTTCCCAATCTTTAAGCCCTTTATCTCTTTTTCTTTTTTATTATACTGATTAGGACACCCAGGACAATAATTAGTAGGACTGGCAATAGAGGGCTTTTGTGACTCACTTCTGGCTCAATGTAGAAGTTGACAAATATGGCCTGTGCGTCTGATGCCTATTTGTATATGCCTCACAAGCTAAGAATTTTTTCTTTCTTTCTTTCTTTCTTTCTTTCTTTCTTTCTTTCTTTCTTTCTTTCTTCTTTCTTTCTTTCTTTCTTTCTTTCTTTCTTTTTTTACATTTATAAGGGTCAAAAAAGTTTTATTGTATACAACCACACTTATTCATTTACATATTGTCTATGGCTGTTTTCATGCTACATCAACAGGGTTGAGTAATTGTGATAGAAATCATATTGTCCACAAAAGCCCAAAATATGCTATCTGGCCCTTTGTAGAAAAAGTTTACCAAACCTTGGTTAAATGGAATGATCTTTAAAATTTTTTTCTAAAAAATTTATTTATTTTGTTTGTTTTTAAAATATTTTATTTAAATTCAATTTGCCAGGATGCCTGGGTAGCTCAACTGTTGAGCATCTGTCTTCAGCCCAGGGCATGATCCTGGAGACCTGGGATCGAGTCCCACATTGGGCTCTCTGCATGGAGCCTGCTTCTTCCTCTGCCTTTGTCTCTGCCTCTCTCTCTGTATCTCTCATGAATAAATAAATAACACCTTAAAAATAAATAAATAAATAAATAAATAAATAAATAAATAAATATTCAATTTGCCAACATATAGTATAACACCCAGTGCTCATCCCATCAATAAAGATTTTCTTTTTAAGTAATGTTTACACCCAACACAGGGCTTGAACTTACAACCAGGGGCTCTATTGATTGAGCCAACCAGGTGCCCCAAATGAATGACTTTTAATGTTGATACCTTTCATTCACAAAAAATAGCTAGATTTTTTTAATTCCCTCTTTTAGCTGGAGTATTATATATATTTATATTTTTATTTTAGGTGGAGTATTATATTTTTTTAGCTGGAGTATTTTATATATATATATAGGACATATATATATATATATGTTTTTTTAATTGAAGTTTGATTTGCCAACATATAGTATAACACCCCATGCTCATCCCGTCAAGTGCCCCCCCTCAGTGCCTGTCACCCAGTCATCCTTAGCTGGAGTATTTAATCTGCTTATATTTGTTGTTGATAAGATGGTAGATTATTTTCTACCATCTTATTTAGTGCTTCCTATTTGTCATCCCTTTCCTCATCATCTCTTCCCCCTTTCTTGCTTTTTTATGAATTGACTAAAATGTTTCCCTCCTTCCATTTTTCCCTTCTTTGTAATGTAAAGACTTGATCTGTAGAAATTTTAACACGTACATTTAACCTGGCAAAATATGGAATTAATCACTTGACTGGGCTATAACTCATCTATCAGTGAGCTCAACCCACCCCTACGTGTCTATCTGTGGCCACATAGGCAGGTTTGTGTTCTGCAGAAATGTAGACCATCAAGTAACTCATGCCCTTCAATGGTCTAGTTATGCTGTGCCCATGCTTACACCTCATCGAGGGCTTTGCAGGAGCCAGTGGTAGAAATAGGAGTACAGATACAAAACCCAAGGTTTTAGAGATGGAAACACTGTTCTCTTTGCTCCATGAAGTCCTTCCATGTACCTCCCATGTACACCCTTTGAGACATTTTGAGTCCACTAAGGACTTCCAGTACCTTCATACATATCAAAACCAATGTTTCGGAAGGTTCCAGGTGTTGGTCCTCCATCTTCTTCATGCCATTTGTACAACTCCATCACTCTAGACTTTTGCCTATTGACAAAAACACCAGAGAGATTCCCATTATGAGCAGGGAACCAGAATTTGGGGACTGGTTCCATCCCTGCTTTCAGTTCTCCCACTGTCCACCCTGAGGATGAATGATTGAAGGCAGAAGCATTTGAAAAAGAGGATGAGCTAGAGGCCCATGGGCGGGGGGGGGGGAGGGCGGGGGGGGTAGTGGCAGCAGTAACTCACCGTTTCACCTCTTTCTTGGAACGGAGCGCAAACATCAAGAGAACAACAAGGATGAGTAGCACTGTGGCACCAGCTGCTCCCACAAGCCCGTACACCAGGCTCTTCTTGGTACTGAATTCACAGGTTTCCCCGCTGTACCAGTCAGTGTCTGTGCTCAGGCAGCTGAGATGGGCAGAAGGGGCAGATGGAGAGAGGGAGTATCCTGAGTCAGGGGTAGCAAACACTCACAGTCTGCCTGCCTCAGATCTGGCCCTGACTCCATGGGAGCTTAATGAGGAGAGGGTAAAGACAACGTTGCTAGAGTGTGGAACGAAGAGCCCTGAGGGGACAGAGGTAAAGTCCAGCTTCCATGACATGGGCCTAAGAGAGAGACCCAATACTCAGCCCAGTACTTTTAGGTTTTGTAGCCCAGGATATAGAGCAGTTGGCCCAATTTGGGCTTTGCCCTGGGCTGTACCCAAGAACTTAAGACCCCAACCTTTTTAATCCACAACTAACCATCACGCTCTCAGTCTCCCTTTCCATCAGGAAAAGCAAATCCCCATCCCAGATCCCCAGCACACACTCTGCCTCTGAAGCTCCCTCTCCTCCCTGGAGAAACCCTTTCTAAGCCCTGTTCCTCTCCTCCCCATACCAGCCTGTGAAATCCTTGTTCAGGAAACCTTCCCAGAACCAGAATATTTACTCAGGTCTTTGAGTATGTGTGACTCCTTCTCCCTGGTCTGTCTTTGGTTTAGTTTCAGTAGGCAATGCCTGTGACTCAGCTTTTATAGGCTTTCCACCCTCCTCTTGAGAAGGTATGGTATAATCTTCCCCTGGAAGCAAGGCCCTGTCCTCCCTATCTGGGAATTTCCAGAAGCTGGGGCTTTCCTTCTGCTTTTTCAGAGCTTGGCCCAGTCCTTAGTCTCACTACACAAACCCAGGGGAGGGGAGGAAAGCTACTGAGGCCCATTCTGGATCTGGCCTTGAGATTCTGGCTACTTGTGTCCTTTGTATTCAAGAGAGGCCAGGACCCACTTGATGACCTTGGCCTTTAGACAGAGTCTTGAAGTGTGGGTTTCCCAATGGAGAGGGAGAACAGCCAGGCTGGGGTGGGACACTCACTAGCACCGAGGACCACTGCGGTCTAGCTGGCACTTCCCAGAGTTACAGTTCATGGTGCTGTTGAAGCCTGGCATGCAATGGTTGATGCAGTTTGGTTTCTGATCCTTGTATTCCACAAAGAAGTAGGCAGCATAATCTTTCCCAGCCTTCTCTTTGCATTCCTCTGTGGGGCATGGAGGAGTTGCAGTGACCAGGTAGCCAGGTACATTGTCTACCTCCCTCTGCCCTCCCTGGACCCCCAGTCACCTACTTTCAGGGTCATATTGGGTAACCGTAATGTTTTGCACCTTGGTGGCAGTCGTGTTGTAACACAGTAGAGCTGTGAAAGGAGACACATAGAGCCCCTTAAAACAAATTTGTTTAGTAGGGATAGGGGATAGGGGAGTGGGATGTGATGAGGGGTAGAAGGAACCCCATTCCTGCAGACGGTAATGGCAGCTTTGTGCCCAGCTCTCCAGAACAATGACCCTCCAAGTGCCCTGTGCCTTCCCCATGTCTTCTTCTCCCATATGCATCTTTGCCAAGATTCCCACACTACTCATTATATTCAGAAGAATAGGCTCCTCATAACAAGCCATGTTTATTCTCATTTTCCCACTAGTCCCACAGGATTTAGCCTGCATGTACACCTGCCTTTTCCCCTTCCCCCCCTCCAGGGATGACACAAAGCTTAAAGATTCCTTGAGGACCCCTTCAACACCCCCCCAGAAGCCTAGGAATTTACCTGGGCAGGTATTATTTATGGTTATTTGCTGTTTGGTTACATTCTGGATTTTTTCCGTCACCTTCTGGGTGACCTTATTCAAAACATCCTTGTATTCTGGGGTGAACTTGGTCTTCAGGATAATTTCATGTTCTACCACAATACTGCCAGCACTGAGGAGAGAAAAAGATGTCTGTGAGTATCCTCCTAGGTCATAAGTGCTCACTTCAACCCCTTTTCCTAGGCAAGACATGCCTTCTTTGCTCCCATGGGAAGGCAGAGCTGGGGGAGGATGGTTGAAATGATGACCCAGTGTTCCCTGGATGAAAGCTAATTCCAGGCACAGTGCTAGGCACTTCCCCTTCGGGCACATATCACAACTTGGGCCTAAGATAACTGTCTCGAAACTTAGGCTCTAGGCCTAAGATAATTTTCTTCCCTGTGTGGAAGTCTTAGGGAAGGCTCAAGGGCAAAGATGGATAGAGAGATGGGACCACGGAAGATCATCATCAAGATGTCATTAGATGCAATCAGCAGGAGACTGGATAGCTGCTGGCAAGATGTCTTTAAGAGGTAGGAGGACACCAGAGGCTTACAGGACTCGTGAATTGCTAAGTGGAGGGCTGCAGAAGGCCTGTGAGCCTTCTAAGAGTATGCATAGAAGCTCATATGTGTGTATTTTCAACTCACATACACTGTTGTCAATTCTCAAACGAGTCTTTGACACCTAAAAGGTTAAAATTCTAGCCAATCATCTCTTCTCTTCCTTAGGACCTAGGAAAAGATAGGGGCAAAGCCATCAAGAGAACATGGCTTCAGACAAGCTCACAGCTTCCATTTGCTTCCTTTTCTCTTCTCTAGCTCCAAATCCCTAGAGCAGCCCATCTTCTGTGTATGTAAAACAGAATCAGAAATGCCTGGAAGTCAATGAGCTCTTATTCTAGAATGCAAATTACTTCTCCCCTGACATAGGTGTAGGGATCATTTGCACCCCAGGAACAAGTACTTTCTGGATATAAAAATACAACAACAAGTCCAGCCTTCCCATGCTCACAATTCAGGATTCCTAAATAAAGGAAGCCAAAAGCACTCTTTTCCCCTTGCTTTCTCCTTAGTACTATATTCAGAGGCTTAAACATAAATAGAAGATTGGGGGGCCAATATTTCTGAACAAGATAAAGAATAGTATAATACAGAATAATAGAGTTATATGAGATAATAATTATACTCATAATATGTAAAATATTGAACAGTGGAATTCAAATAACCTGTAGATTAATGAGTTAGAGGGCACCAGGGGATCTTTTAGCTCAAGGTCATCTTTCAAAATAAGGACACGTTGATCTCAAGAACCCCACATGGTGGGATGCCTGGGTGACTCAGTGGTTGAGCATCTGCCTTCAGCTCAGGGCATGATCCTAGGGTCCTGGGATCGAGTTCTGCATCCGGCTCCCTGCAAGGAGCCTACTTCTACCTCTACCTATGTCTCTACCTCTCTCTCTGTGTCTCTCATGAATAAATGCCTAAAATCTTTTAAAAAGAGAAAGAAAAGAAACCCAAGGTGGTGGTGGCCTCAGGCATCTCCCTGACTCCATCACTATCCTCAGACCCCATTTTGAAAACTCTGATGGAGAGAAACATGGCTTTATCAAGGCCACACAGATATAGAGGGAGTTAGAAGGTTCAGGAGGAAATCCTGACACTTGCCCAGAGTAGCCAAGTGATCTTGGACCAGCAGTTGGCTCCGTAGAGCCTCAGTTCCCTCATGTGTAACATGAGAGTAGTTGGTTCCCGGGACTCTTCCTTCCATGCTTCCAATATGAATGATTCTCACTTCCTATCTGCCTGCTCCCAGACGTCTCTGGAGCCCTCAGGGTTCAGCTGTCTCTTCATATCTGGCCGAAGGTAGTAGAATAGATAGAGAACCCAGCAGGGGTGCAGGGATGCCTGTGTGGCTTGGTCAGTTAAGCATTTGCCTTCAGTTTAGGTCACTATCCCAGAGTCCTGGGATCAAGTACTGCATTGGGCTCCCTGCTCAGTGGGGAGTCTGTTTCTCCTTCTCCTTCTCCCCTTCCTCCCTGCTTATGCTCTCTCTCTCGCTCTCTCTCTCTTTCTCAAATACATAAATAAAATCTTTTTTTGAAAAAAGAAAACCCATCAGGAATATAAAAATGCTCGGTCCACAGAGCCTGTCCGCCTTCTCTTGCCTGAGAGAGAGTGACAGGTAGAGAAGAAAGATGACGTTTGCATTTACGGACTGCCCCATCCCCAGGGGGGAAGAGAACTCTGTGGGGTCAGCACATGCTAAACCTGGAGAGGAAGTTTTAGGGCCAGAAAGAAAAATGGTTTCCTCTTCCAGGGCAGCTAAACTGCTGAAGGGCAGACACCAGGCACCTGCTCACAGACCACAGGAAGAGGACATGACAAGCCCAGCTGGTGGCCTCTCTTGTTCAAGAGAGAAGGTTTTGGTTTGACATAACTGGGAGAGGAAGAAAAACAGAGGTTGAAAGATACATTTTTCCCCTGTGATTTTGTTCAACTTTCTTTCTACTGGTTGAAAATTTCTTTTGAAGATTATCATGACTGTAAACCAGGGGAGAGATATCTCCACGGACCAGGAGAGGCTGGCAACTCCTGTAAACCTCATTGGTCAGTACCATTCTAAGGTTTTCAAACAGTTGAGGTTGATAGCAGGGCCAAGATTCTGTGGGAGCAGAGTCCTGTAAGAGGTGAGTGGGAGTGAATACCAGCCAGGTCGGGACTTGGACACATTTTCCCTGGGGTTGCCTCCCAAGCTAAGTTATTTGGCTTCATCTCTGAAGACAAACGGGATGTCCACCACACAAACTGTATCCTCCAGGTATTCTCATGTGTCAGTGTCTCCAGCATAAGAGGATTTCTGTTTGAGTCTTGGATCTACCACTCCATAAATGACCCCTTAGGCAACTCAATGCCTGTCTCTAGGAATCTTTCTTTTTCTGTGCAATGGGAATAATCCTGCCGGCCGGGAATAACCACTCACAGGGTGGTTATGAGCTTCCAAATTGGAAAATATATGTAAGACTATAATTGTTGGGAGGGTGTTATAAGCTAAACTGTGTTCCCCCCAAATTCATATGTTGAAGCCCTAACCCCCAGTATCTCTTTATTTGAGGATAGGGCCTCTACACATGTGCTTAAGTTAAAATGAGCCTGTTGGGTGGGCCCTAACCCAATCTGAGTGGTGTCCTTATGAGAAGAGGAATTTTGGGCTGGCACCTGGCTGGCCCAGTTGGAAAAACATGTGACTCCTGACCTTGGGTTTTGAATTCAAGCCCCATGTTGAGTGTAGAGATTGCTACAAAAATAAATAAGAACTTTTAAAAAAAACGAGAGGAGGAAATTTGGTCACACAAAGACACACCAAGGATGTGCTTGAACAGAGGAAAACTGTGTGAGGACCCAGGAAGGAGGCAATTGTCTGCAAGCCAAAGAGAGACTCAGAAGAAACCAAACCTACTGAACACCTCGATCTTGGACTTCCAGCCTCCAGAACCTGAGAAATAAATATCTGTTGCTTGAGCCACCCAGTCTGGGGTATTTTGTTATGACAGCCCTGGCAAACTCATATAGGGGCAGAGTTTCAGTTGTCTTTATGATTATTGTTTCCACTCCAAATACTTTCTTTCCAGGATCCCCAGATACTCACGACAGCCTTGTGATGTTGACCCCTTGATACTCAGGGATTTCGCGATAAACGTGAGCCATCTGAAAGGCAAGGAGGTCACGGTGTCATCCCAGACGCCCCAACGTGGAGCCTGCCAGGTCTTTCCATAGGAATTCAGGAAGGCAGAGGATGGACCTGATGCATCCCCCATTCCCTGTGAGGAGCTGGCAGGGGCACACTGTCCAGATGGGGTGGTCCCTCCTCAGAGACCAGCCCTATCCCTGGGGCCCTCCCACTGGCCCTTTCATGGAACCTTTCTTTGTCTTTTCACAAGCTCTCTGGCAAACCCTGAGGAAAGGAGTGAGCTGAGAAACTCACAAACATGAGAACAGCCCTCAACTGCTTTCTTCACCTCTAGAGACTGCTCCCTGAGTTACCGACAGGGACCTGCTTTCCCAGGCTCACCTCTTGTGTGAATGTATCACTGAAGTTCTTGAATTCTACAGAATCCCGGTCTTCTAGCTCTTTGGTGAACTCCCTACTGGTCACTGTCACAGTCATTTCTACTTGGGCAGAGACGGTCTCCGGTGGGGAGTCTAAGGGGGTCAAACAGAAGCACCACTTACTGAGAACAGAGCCCCCCCTCCCACCCCAAGTTCCTTCGCAAGGAGACCCACACTTCAGCAATTCTGCCCTGAGCAAGGGAGTGGGCTAGGTCCACCACCCCCACTCCCACGCAGGTCTCACCAGAGTGCCTCTGGAGGGTGGGGAGTACACTGTATTCTTCATGGCTTTGGGATGGAACCCAGGGGATCTCTGGCCTTACATTATCTTAGAGAATTTCACATACCTTTTGTATTCTCCTCCAGTACACACTCATTTATCTTAAGTGTATTTTAAAATACAAATTCTGTGCCAGATTTATGTTTTGTTCCAAACTATACCTTCCTGCTTTATTCATTTTTTAATGTTTCAACTTTATTACCACTGAGTTAAATGGTTGCCCCCAGAAGAGGCCATATTCCTGGGCATGCAGAGGGCAGTAATAGGGGCTCAGGATTGGGGAGAGCAGGGCCCTGTGGTCCTACTCACCTATCTCAATGCTCGGGATCACATCCTCGCACTTTGGCCCTTGGAAGAGGCCAACGCACACACACTTAATCCCATCCCAGTAGCCTTCATTCTTGCAGGTCATGGCTTGGTACTGGCACTGGTCTCCTTGGAAGTCGTTGGGGCAAACACAGACCTGCCCATTCCACGTTCCTCCATTTTTGCAGTCCACTGAAAAGGACAAAGCCCCACTTACCCACACATATTTGCATAAAACTTTACAGCTTGCAACACATTTTCACAGATACTGCCTAATTTGATACTCTCATGAGACCCTGGAATAGGCAGGACAGATAGTGTCATCCCTATTTTTTTTAATTTTTATTTATTTATGATAGTCAGAGAGAGAGAGAGAGAGAGAGAGAGAGAGATGCAGAGACATAGGCAGAGGGAGAAGCAGGCTCCATGCACCGGGAGCCCGATGTGGGATTCGATCCTGGGTCTCCAGGATCGCGCCCTGGGCCAAAGGCAGGTGCCAAACCGCTGCGCCACCCAGGGATCCCTGTCATCCCTATTTTATGGATGGGACAAGTGAGGTGGAAAGAGGCTAAGAGACCTGCCCAATGATCCATGTGGATGCTGGACTTGACCTGGTCTTAGAGTATTCCAGTACGATTTACTTTAGCCCTGAAAAGCAAGAAATGGAACATCTAGTATTGTCAGGGGTGAGGGACAACACAGGCAAGGCTGAGGAAGAGAAAAGAAAAAACAGAAACTAAGAGTACCCAGAAGAACTTGACCAATCTAGGTTACAGTAGGCCTGTGAATGAGTATGTCATTATCTCTGCAACACCTGCTTCAGGAGAGCTCATACTGGAAATTGTTGTCATGGTGACTATTCATGATTCCTCTTTATTTTCTGGGATGTAGAGTTTGAGGGAGGAATGTAAACTTCATTTAGACAGAAGATGGTTACAAACAACTCTCAATATCTATGCCAATCTATTTGGAAAAGTGAGATCTCTGTTCCCTTTGGCTTTTCTTTTTTTTTTTATTTTATTGTTTTTAATTTTTTTTTAATAAATTAATTTTTATTGGTGTTCAATTTACCAACATACAGAATAACACCCAGTGCTCATCCCGTCAAGTGTCCCCCTCCGTGCCCGTCACCCATTCACCCCCACCCCCCGCCCTCCTCCCCTTCCACCACCCCTAGTTCATTTCCCAGAGTTAGAGGTCTTTATGTTCTGTCTCCCTTTCTGATATCTCCCACACATTTCTTCTCCCTTTGGCTTTTCTTGAAAAGAGCTGTTCATGCACAGACTTGTATTCCAGGTAAGGTTTGTCTAGCTAGGCACATGAGATATGCACATACTCTAGGAAACCCTGCCCCACCTCTTCCTCCCAGTCTACTCCTCTACTACCAGTTTCAGAGTGCATAGGCCACACTCATCACATCACACAGCCTCTGATTACAGGCCTTTGGTTCAAGACATTCAGAAAGAGTGAAAGAGTTGAGTCAAGAGTGGTGTCCTGGGCACAAGAAAGATCCATAAATCCTAAATCAGCCTCTCTCTCTCTCTCTCTCTCTCTCTCTCTCTCTCTGTGTGTGTGTGTGTTACTGAAGATGTCCAGACCTGATCTAAGTGATGAGCACAAGCTTGTGTGCAAAAGCACCCGCTGGGATGTGTCACCTGTTGCCCAAAGGTCTACAGGGAAAGCCAACCTCCAGGGAATAAGAGGAAGATGAAGGGAGGCTATCTGCCTTCAGAAAGCTGACCAATATCAGCTGTGGGCCTGGTGGTCATGCATTTACTGCAAGACACCTGTGGGACTTCCTAGGGACACAAGTTCCAGACCTCCCCCTAAAGATGCTCAGCACCTCTCTCTGAGAATCAGAGTTCAACTAGACAATGCCACATTGGAGAGAAACCAAAGAACAAAGCCACATAAAATAAAAGCCAGGCAAAAAAAAAACCCTCCAGAGGAAGAATTCACAAAGCGCTGAGGAAATGCGGTAGCCAAATGCTGAAGAACTTCCCTTCATCTTCCTCAATTCAAGACAGGATAGGGCAGGGCACTATCGTGGAAAACACAGATCATATGTCTCTAGGCATATCTATAGTTTATCTAAAGCAATAAATGTCTTTAAGTATTTTAACTAGTACATTTATCTTAATGCCAAATATCCTCTCTCTGATAATCAATCTCACAAGTATAATAATAGTATATTGTATAATATATATTGTATATTATATATTACATAATGACACTGTATTATAATGGTAGGCATGGAGTGGGGTAGTCTCATTTTATCCAGAGCAAAGAGAGCTGGGTCGAAGTTCCAGAGACAGAAAAAAGACAGGAAGGCATAAGGATACAGAAATATTCAAGGGCATAGAGGCAGAGCTCAGAGCTGATAAAATTAAATCTGCTTGGAAAACTTGGGTGGCTCAGTGGTTGAGTGTCTGTCTTTGGCTCAGGGCGTGACCCCAGAATCTGGGGATTGAGTCCAGCAATGTGCTCCCTCCTTGCAGGGAGCCGGCTTTTCCCTCTCCCTCTGACTATGTCTCTGCCTCTCTCTGTGTGTGACTCTGATAAATAAATAAATAAAATCTTTAAATTAAAAAAAAACTTCTTTGGCTTCTATGGTGGATGCACAGAAAATAAGAAAAAACAAAATAAATGAATGGTAGCAGAGAGATAGTTGCCAAAGACATATATGAGTACTATTGGCAACAACAATAACAAAAACCAAAACAAAAACCAAAAAACCTTAACATTTAAGCATGACCAAAATCAATGAGATAAACCACTAAAAGGACATGTAATCCAAATGAAATATAGGAAGTTCATGAGATTATAGGATATAACACATGATGGGACAGAGCTTCACAGAATATAAAAGGAAGATATGGAATGTACAGACACTCTGTTGGGGACTCAAGCTGTCCAGGCAAAGAGAGATGAAGTATGTTGTATGATAAAATGGACCTAGTTCAAGAAACAGTGGGCAGGACAGAGATCAGAGAAAAGGTGACTGCACTGAGGACAATTGATCCAAAGGAAACAAGTAAGAACAAAAGAAGAATTAGGATAAAGGTCTAAGAAGCCCACAGGGACAGGTTGAAAACATATGTAGGCTTCAAAAGGCAAATACAAAATATTACTTACATGGTGTGGTTGCTGGAGTAGTAGATGTAGGGGCAGGGGTGCTTCTTATTGTAACAGTGGCCGAGCTCTGCGTGGTAAGTGTTGTCCTGGAGGTAGAGGTGGACTGAGTCCTTGTGGTGACAACCACAGGAGTCACAGAGGTGGAGGAGGCAGAAGTTGTTGCAGATGGTATTGTCTGTGGGCTACTTATTGTGGAAGCTGGAGTGGTGGTGACACTACCAACAGAGGTTGTAGAAGTCTCAGCTCCTGTATAAGAAGACAAAGTGGTACCACTCAATGTAAAAGTGGTGGATGTGTCAGTCACTGGAGAAACTGAGCCTGCTGAGGTGCTCTCAGCTGGTAGTGTTGGGGGTGGAATACTCTCTGTGACAGATGAACTGGTGGTGGAACTCTCAACAAAAGCTGGGGATGTGTTCATACCTGGAGAAGCTGTTGCGGTTGAGGTAGAGTCAGCTGAAGGTGTTGGCGATGGGCTACTGTCTGTGAGAGCATCTGTGGTGGTGGCAGTGGCAGCAGAAGCTGGAGATGTGATCGTGTTTGGTGAAGCTGTCCCTGTTGAGGTAGAGGGAGCTGAAGGTGTTGACATGCTGGTGTCTGCAGAAGCTGTTGATGTGGTTACGTCTGGAGAAGCTGTTGATATGGTCACACCTGGAGAAGAGGTTAATGTGCTTGCATCTGGAGAAGCTGTGGATGTGGTGCTGTCTGGAGAAACTGTTGATGAGCTCATGTCTGGAGATGCAGTTGATGTGGTCATGACTAGGGAAGCTGTTGATGTGCTTACATCTGGCCAGGCTGTTGATGTGGTCATGGCTGGAGACGCTGATGTGGTTGCATCTGGATATGTTGTTGATGTGCTGGTGTCTGGAGACTCTGTTGATGTGCTCATGACCGGGGAAGCTGTTGATGTGCTCGCATCCGGCCAGGCTGTTGATGTGGTCGTGTCTGGAGATGTTGTTGATGTGCTAATGTCAGGAGAAGCTATTGATGTAGTGGTGTCTGGAGTAGCTGTTGATATGGTGGCATCCAGAGAGGCTGTGGATGTGCTCGAATCTGGAGACGTTGTTGACGTGCTGGTGTCTGGAGAAGCTGTTGGTGTGCCTGTGTCTGGAGACACTGTTAATGTGCTTGCAACTGAAGAAACTGTTGATGTGGTGGCATCTGGAGAAGCTGTGGATGTCATGCTCTCTGGAATAGCTGTTGATGTGGTCGTGTCTGGAGATGTTGTTGATGTGCTCACATCTGGAGAAGCTGCTGATGTGGTCCCGTCTAGAGACACTATTGATGTGGTCATGTCTGGGGACACTGTTGATGTGCTCATGTCTGGAGAAGCTGTTGATGTGCTCGTGTCTGGAGACACTGTTGATGTGCTCGCATCTGGCCAGACAGTTGATGTGGTCCCGTCTGGAGAAGCTGTTGATGTGGTCACATCTGGAGAAGCTATAGATGTGGTCATGTCTGGAGACATTGTTGATGTGCTCCCATCTGGAGAAGCTGCTGATGTGCTCACGTCTGGAGAGGTTCTTGATGTAGTCACATCTGGAGAAGCTGTTGATGTGCTTGAATCTGGCCAGATTGTCAATGTGGTCATGTCTGGAGATGTTTTTGATGTGGTCCCATCTGGAGAAGCTATTGATGTAGTCATTTCTGGAGATGCTGTTGATGTGGTCACTTCTGGAGAAGCTGCAGATGTGGTCCTGTCTGGAAAAGCTGCTGATGTGGTCATGTCTGGAGAAGCTGTTGATGTGCTCGCATCAGGCCAGGTTGTTGATGTGGTCACATCTGGAGAAGCCGTTGATGTGGTCACATCTGGAGAAGCTGTTGATGTGCTAGCATCTGGCCAGGCAGTTGAGGTGGTCACGACCGGAGAAGCTGGTGATGTGGTCATATCTGGGGAAGCTATAGATGTGGTCATGTCTGGAGACATTGTTGATGTGCTCCCATCTGGAGAAGCTGCTGATGTGCTCGCATCTGGAGAGGTTCTTGATGTAGTCACATCTGGAGAAGCTGTTGATGTGCTTGTTTCTGGGCAGGCAGTTGATGTGGTCCTGTCTGGAGACGTTGTTGATATGGTCGCATCTGGAGAAGCTGCTGATGTGGTCACGTCTGGAGAAGCTGCTGATGTGGCCCCATCTGGAGACACTGTAAATGTGGTCAAGTCTGGAGAAGCTGTTGATGTGCTCATGTCCGGAGACACTGTTGATGTGCTCATGTCAGGAGAGGCTGTTGATGTGCTCGCATCTGGAGAGGCTCTTGATGTGGTCACATCTGGAGAAGCTGCTGACATGGTCACGTCTGGAGAAGCTGCTGATGTGGTTCCATCTGGAGACACTGTTAATGTGGTCGCCTCTGGAGAAGCTGTTGATGTGCTCATGTCTGGAGACATTGTTGACGTGCTCATGTCCAGAGAAACTGTTGATGTGCTCACATCTGGCCAGGCTGGTGATGTGGTCCCTTCTGGAGATGCTGTTGAAGTGGTCAAGTCTGGAGAAGCTGTTGATGTGCTCGTGACTGGTGTAGCTATTAATGTGCTCATGTCTGGAGACACTGGTGATGTGCTCATGTCTGGAGAAGCTGTTGCTGTGGTCGCATCTGGAGAAGCTGCTGATGTGGTCCCGTCTGGAGACACTGTTAATGTGGTCATGTCTGGAGAAGCTGTGGTTGAGGCAAGATCTGGAGAAGCTGCTGATGTGGTCCCATCTGGAGATGCTGTTGACGTAGTCAGGTCTGGAGGAGCAGTTGATGTGGTCACATCTGGAGAAGCTGCTGATGTGGTCCCATCTGGAGACACTGCTGAAGTACTCATGTCTGGAGAAGCTGTTGATGTGCTCACATCTGGAGAGGCTCTTGATGTGGTCACATCTGGAGAAGCTGCTGATGTGGTCACGTCTGCAGAAGATGCTGATGTGGTCATGTCTGGAAAAGCTGCTGATGTGGTTCCATCTGGAGACACTTTTGATGTGGTCGCCTCTGGAGAAGCTGTTGATGTGCTCATGTCTGGAGACATTGTTGATGTGCTCATGTCTGGATAAGCTGTTGATGTGCTCGCATCTGGCCAGGTTGCTGATGAGGTCCCTTCTGGAGATGCCGTTGAAGTGGTCAAGTCCGGAAAAGCGGTTGATGTGCTCGTGTCCGGAGATGCTATTGTTGTGGTCACGTCTGGAGAAGCGACTGATATGGTTATATCTGGAGAAGCTGCTGATGTGGTGCCGTCTAGAGACGATGTTGATGTAGTCACATCTGGAGATGTTGTTGATGTGGTCTCATCCTGAGCAGCTGATGATGTGGTCCTGTCTGGAGACACTGTTGATGTGGTGAAGTCTGGAGAAGCTGTTGATGTGCTCGCATCTGGCCAGGCTGTTGAGATAGTCCCGTCTGGAGAGGCTGTTGATGTGGTCGCCTCTGGAGAAGCTGTTGATGTGCTCATTTCTGTCCAGGCAGTCGATGTGGTCACGTCTGGAGAAGCTAGTGATGTGGTCACATCCAGAGCAGCTGCTGATGTGGTCCCAACTGGAGACACTGCTGAAGTGCTCATGTCTGGAGAAGCTGTTGATGTGCTCGTATCTGGAGAGGCTCTTGATGTGCTCACATCTGGCCAGGTTGCTGATGAGGTCCCTTCTGGAGACGCCGTTGAGGTGGTCAAGTCTGGAAAAGCGGTTGATGTGCTCGTGTCTGGAGATGCTATTGTTGTGGTCACGTCTGGAGAAGCGACTGATATGGTTATATCTGGAGAAGCTGCTGATGTGGTGCTGTCTAGAGACGATGTTGATGTAGTCACATCTGGAGATGTTGTTGATGTGGTCTCATCCTGAGCAGCTGATGATGTGGTCTTGTCTGGAGACACTGTTGATGTGGTGAAGTCTGTAGAGGCTGTTGATGTGCTCGCATCTGGCCAGGCTGTTGAGATAGTCCCGTCTGGAGAGGCTGTTGATGTGGTCGCCTCTGGAGAAGCTGTTGATGTGCTCATTTCTGTCCAGGCAGTCGATGTGGTCACGTCTGGAGAAGCTAGTGATGTGGTCACATCCGGAGCAGCTGCTGATGTGGTGCCATCTGGAGACACTGCTGAAGTGCTCATGTCTGGAGAAGCTGTTGATATGCTTGCATCTGGAGAGGCTCTTGATGTGGTCACATCTGGAGAAGCTGCTAAGGTGGTCAAGTCTGGAGAAGCTGCTGATGTGGTCATGTCTGGAAAAGCTGCTGATGTGGTTCTATCTGGAGACACTGTTGATGTGGTCGCCTCTGGAGAAGCTGTTGATGTGCTCATATCTGGAGACATTGTTGATATGCTCATGTCTGGATAAGCTGTTGATGTGCTCGCATCTGGCCAGGTTGCTGATGAGGTCCCTTCTGGAGACGCCGTTGAGGTGGTCAAGTCTGGAAAAGCGGTTGATGTGCTCGTGTCCGGAGATGCTATTGTTGTGGTCACGTCTGGAGAAGCGACTGATATGGTTATATCTGGAGAAGCTGCTGATGTGGTGCCGTCTAGAGACGATGTTGATGTAGTCACATCTGGAGATGTTGTTGATGTGGTCTCATCCTGAGCAGCTGATGATGTGGTCCTGTCTGGAGACACTGTTGATGTGGTGAAGTCTGGAGAAGCTGTTGATGTGCTCGCATCTGGCCAGGCTGTTGAGATAGTCCCGTCTGGAGAGGCTGTTGATGTGGTCGCCTCTGGAGAAGCTGTTGATGTGCTCATTTCTGTCCAGGCAGTCGATGTGGTCACGTCTGGAGAAGCTAGTGATGTGGTCACATCCAGAGCAGCTGCTGATGTGGTCCCAACTGGAGACACTGCTGAAGTGCTCATGTCTGGAGAAGCTGTTGATGTGCTCGCATCTGGAGAGGCTCTTGATGTGCTCACATCTGGCCAGGTTGCTGATGAGGTCCCTTCTGGAGACGCCGTTGAGGTGGTCAAGTCTGGAAAAGCGGTTGATGTGCTCGTGTCCGGAGATGCTATTGTTGTGGTCACGTCTGGAGAAGCGACTGATATGGTTATATCTGGAGAAGCTGCTGATGTGGTGCCGTCTAGAGACGATGTTGATGTAGTCACATCTGGAGATGTTGTTGATGTGGTCTCATCCTGAGCAGCTGATGATGTGGTCCTGTCTGGAGACACTGTTGATGTGGTGAAGTCTGGAGAAGCTGTTGATGTGCTCGCATCTGGCCAGGCTGTTGAGATAGTCCCATCTGGAGAGGCTGTTGATGTGGTCGCCTCTGGAGAAGCTGTTGATGTGCTCATTTCTGTCCAGGCAGTCGATGTGGTCACGTCTGGAGAAGCTAGTGATGTGGTCACATCCAGAGCAGCTGCTGATGTGGTCCCAACTGGAGACACTGCTGAAGTGCTCATGTCTGGAGAAGCTGTTGATGTGCTCGCATCTGGAGAGGCTCTTGATGTGCTCACATCTGGCCAGGTTGCTGATGAGGTCCCTTCTGGAGACGCCGTTGAGGTGGTCAAGTCTGGAAAAGCGGTTGATGTGCTCGTGTCCGGAGATGCTATTGTTGTGGTCACGTCTGGAGAAGCGACTGATATGGTTATATCTGGAGAAGCTGCTGATGTGGTGCCGTCTAGAGACGATGTTGATGTAGTCACATCTGGAGATGTTGTTGATGTGGTCTCATCCTGAGCAGCTGATGATGTGGTCCTGTCTGGAGACACTGTTGATGTGGTGAAGTCTGGAGAAGCTGTTGATGTGCTCGCATCTGGCCAGGCTGTTGAGATAGTCCCGTCTGGAGAGGCTGTTGATGTGGTCGCCTCTGGAGAAGCTGTTGATGTGCTCATTTCTGTCCAGGCAGTCGATGTGGTCACGTCTGGAGAAGCTAGTGATGTGGTCACATCCGGAGCAGCTGCTGATGTGGTCCCATCTGGAGATGCTGTTGACGTAGTCAGGTCTGGAGGAGCAGTTGATGTGGTCACATCTGGAGAAGCTGCTGATGTGGTCCCATCTGGAGACACTGCTGAAGTACTCATGTCTGGAGAAGCTGTTGATGTGCTCACATCTGGAGAGGCTCTTGATGTGGTCACATCTGGAGAAGCTGCTGATGTGGTCACGTCTGCAGAAGATGCTGATGTGGTCATGTCTGGAAAAGCTGCTGATGTGGTTCCATCTGGAGACACTTTTGATGTGGTCGCCTCTGGAGAAGCTGTTGATGTGCTCATGTCTGGAGACATTGTTGATGTGCTCATGTCTGGATAAGCTGTTGATGTGCTCGCATCTGGCCAGGTTGCTGATGAGGTCCCTTCTGGAGATGCCGTTGAAGTGGTCAAGTCCGGAAAAGCGGTTGATGTGCTCGTGTCCGGAGATGCTATTGTTGTGGTCACGTCTGGAGAAGCGACTGATATGGTTATATCTGGAGAAGCTGCTGATGTGGTGCCGTCTAGAGACGATGTTGATGTAGTCACATCTGGAGATGTTGTTGATGTGGTCTCATCCTGAGCAGCTGATGATGTGGTCCTGTCTGGAGACACTGTTGATGTGGTGAAGTCTGGAGAGGCTGTTGATGTGCTCATGTCTGGAGACATTGTTGACGTGCTCATGTCCGGAGAAACTGTTGATGTGTTCACATCTGGCCAGGCTGGTGATGTGGTCCCTTCTGGAGACACTGTAAATGTGGTCAAGTCTGGAGAAGCTGTTGATGTGCTCATGTCTGGAGAAGCTGTTGATGTGCTCACTTCTGGCCAGGCAGTTGATGTGGTCACATCCGGAGCAGCTGCTGATGTGGTCCCATCTGGAGACACTGCTGAAGTGCTCATGTCTAGAGAAACTGTTGATGTGCTCGCATCTGGAGATGCTCTTGATGTGGTCACATCTGGAGAAGCTGCTGAGGCGGGTCACGTCTGGAGAAGCTGCTGATGTGGTCATGTCTGGAAAAGCTGCTGATGTGGTTTCATCTGGAGATGCTGTTGATGTGGTCGCCACTGGAGAAGCTGTTGATGTGCTCATGTCTGGAGAAGTGATTGATGTGGTTATATCTGCAGAAGTTGCTGATGTGGTCCTGACTAGAGACGATGTTGATGCAGTCACATCTGGAGATGTTGTTGATGTGGTCTCATCTTGAGCAGCTGATGATGTGGTCCTGCCTGGAGGCACTGTTGATGTGGTGAAGTCTGGAGAGGCTGTTGATGTGCTCATATCTGGCCAGGCTGTTGATATAGTCCCGTCTGGAGAGGCTGTTGATGTGGTCACATCTGGAGCAGCTGCTGACGTGTTCCCATCTGGAGACACTGCTGAACTGCTCATGTCTGGAGAAGCTGTTGATGTGCTCACATCTGGAGAGGCTCTTGATGTGGTCACATATGGAGAAGCTGCTGATGTGGTCACGTCTGGAGAAGCTGTTGATGTGCTTGTGTCTGGAGACACTGTTGATGTGCTCATGTCTGGAGAAGCTGTTGATGTGCTCACTTCCGGCCAGGCAGTTGATGTGGTCACTTCTGCAGAAGCTGGTGATGTGGTCACATCCGGAGATGTTGTTGATGTGGTCTCATCTTGAGCAGCTGATGATGTGGTCCTGTCTGGAGACACTGTTGATGTGGTGAAGTCTGAAGAAGCTATTGATGTGCTTGCATCTGGCCAGGCTGTTGATATAGTCCCGTCTGGAGAGGCTGTTGATGTGGTCGCCTCTGGAGAAGCTGTTGATATGCTCATGTCTGGAGAAGCTGTTGAAGTGCTTGTTTCTGGCCAGGCAGTTGATGTGGTCATGTATGGAGAAGCTAGTGATGTGGTCACATCCGGAGCAGCTGCTGATGTGGTTCCATCTGGAGACACTGCTGAAGTGCTCATGTCTAGAGAAGCTGTTGATGTGCTCGCATCTGGAGAGGCTCTAGATGTGGTCACATCTGGAGAAACTGCTGATGTGGTCTCGTCTGGAGAAGCTGCTGATGTGGTCATGTGTGGAGACACTGTTGATGTGCTCATGTCTGGAGCAGCTGCTGATGTGGTCCCATCTGGAGAACCTGTTGATGTGCTCGCGTCTGGAGACCCTGTTGATGTGCTCATGTCTGGTGAAGCTGTTGATGTGCTAGCCTCTGGAGAGGCTCCTGACGTGGTCCCGTGTGGAGATGCTGTTGAAGTGGTCACGTCTGGTGGAGCGGTTGATGTTGTCGCATCTGGAGGTGCTGCTGATATGGTCCCATCTGGAGACGATGTTGATGTGGTCACGTCTGGAGACACTGTTGATGTGGTCTCATCTGGAGAAGCTATTGAGGTGCTTGCTTCTGGCAAGGGAGTTGATGTGGTCATGTCTGGAGAAGCTGGTGATGTGCTCATATCTGGAGCAGCTGCTGATGTGGTCTCATCTGGAGACACTGCTGATGTGGACACCTCTGGGTAAGCTGTTGATGTGCTCATGTCTGGTGAAGCTATTGATGTGCTCATGACTGGAGACCCTGTTGATGTGTTAATGTCTGGAGAAGCTGTTGAAGTGCTTGTTTCT